ACAGGTGAAGGACAAGCGTCCGAGTCTCCTGCTCGGCGGGGTCCCCTGGGGCCTGCCTGCGTGGAACCCTTGGGAGAAGCCAAGAAGTGTGAAGTGGCGCTGTGGCTTGACTGGGTGGGGGCAGAGGGGGAGAGGGTCCCGGCCCCACTGCCGCAACACAGAGCTGGCCAGAGCTTGTCCTTCAGAATGTGATCTGGGGGCCAGAGAGGCAGTACAGCAGGGAGGCCACTCGTCAGCACCCCGTACGGCCCCCTGAGCCCCTCCAGGAGTGATTCCTGGGCGCAGAGCAGGAGTTAGCCCTGAGCACAGAGCCAGGAGTCAGCTCCTGCATAGAGCCGGGAGTGATTCCTGAGCACAGAGCTGGAAGTCAGCCTTGAGCACAGAGCCGGGAGTCAGCCCTGAGCATAGAGCCAGGAGTCATCCCTGAGCACAGAGCCAGGAGTCAGCCCTGAGCACAGAGCCAGGAGTCAGCCCTGAGTACAAAGCTGGGAGTGATCCCTGAGCACAGAGCTTGAAGTCAGACCTGAGCACAGAGCTGGGAGTCAACCCTGAGCACAGAGCCGGAGTCAGCCCTGAGCTCAGAGCGGGGAGCCCTGAATGCTGCTGGGTATGGCCCCAAAACACCAAAACAAGTTCCCAGGGGCATCATTGTGGTCCTCGACCGGGGCTCCCTCTTCTGGGCCCACCTCTAGACAATGGCAGCCCCTACCCCTCACATGCACCAACTCCTAGTCTCCTAAGCCAGGCCAGCAGGGAATCACCACCCCCAAACTACAGATGGGGAAACCGAGGCTTTGCAGGGGGAGAAACGGGGGGGTCCTGGATTCAACCTCAGGGGGCACCTGCTGGGTTAAAAGGAGAGGCAGGGTCCTCAGGTTGGTGATCTGACTCACGGTGGGCCCTCTCCAGTGGTCCCCAGTGCTGGGGAGCTCCCTCCCCCCTACATGAGGGTCTCAGTCGTCCCATCTGGTCAGTGGGGATGGGCTTCCTGCCTGGTCAGCCCACATGCCCTGACTGAGCACATGCACTGTGCAGGGAGTGGAGATGAGCAGAGCCCACCATGCAACCAGTCTGATGGAGGAGGTAGGCAGGCAGTCTGATGGGGGAGGCGGACAGGCAGTCTGATGGGGGAGATGGGCAGCCAGTCTGGTGGGGGAGGTGGGCAGGCAGTCTGATGGGGGAGGTGGACAGGCAGTCTGATGGGGGAGGTGGGGAGCACACAGGTGCTTTGCTGGCAAGTGCGTCACCCTCTGTACAGTCTCTGTGGCCCCAGGTTGCTTCCCAGGTGGGAAACTGTCAACACCCCCTGGGGTTCTGCCCATGCCGGCCCCTGACTCACTGCTGGCCTCCCCCACGGCTGGTGCTCTCTCTCAGAGGGGCTGGTTTGATCTCTGGGTTCCGGCAGGGGGAGGGCCGGGGTGCCGGCACGCGGGGAGCAGGGGCTGACGGAGCGCTCTGTGAGCCGGGGCAGGCCCCGACCTGAGGCGGCTTCCTGGGACTGATTTATCTGCTGTCGCCTGCCCGGCAGTCCCAGGGCGGGCGGGGGTCCCCCCAGGCCCAGCTGAATGAGTCCGGCGGGAGGATGAGTTCAGTCATGCTCGGATTGTCAAGAACTGAAGACGAATCTTCTCTCTGCAAACACTCGCTGTGGATTCCAGACCCGCCGGCTGGGGCAGGGGGCTGCCCCCTCGCCGGGCTGTCCCTGAAGCTCATGTCCGCTCTGGGCTCCAGTGCCCGCTCTCCCGGGGCCATGGGGCGCCCAGCTGCTGGCCTCCTGGGGGAAGTGTTCGCGGGGTACCCGCCACGCTTGGTCCCAAGCCCTTGGCTGGAGTGCCCTGGCTGCGGAGGCTTCGGGGCTCCTGGGAGTAAGGGCCCCTTAGATAACCCGGCCTCAGGGGCAGTCGGGACCCTCGCCCAGGGAGCGTCCAGGTCCCTTCTTGGGGCTGCAGCCAGAGAGCTGGGCAGCCTGGCTTAGGGCTGGGCCTAACCCCCACCTCAGCACCCGCTGCCAGCGTTGTGTGGGCCTGCCTTTGGGGTTTGCTTTTTTCTGGTTCGGGGGGCCACACCCTGAGGTGCTCAGGGATCACTTGGGCTCAGAGGACCATGTGGGGTGCTGGGGATCAAACACATCCAGGTCAGCCAGGTGCAAGGCAAGTGCCCATCCGCTGGACTATCTCTCCAGCCCAGCACCGTTGCCTATCTGTGAAATGGGTCCACACATGACTGCAGAGGCTGTATGTGTTTCTGTGTGTGTCTGTGTATCTGTGTCTGCTGTGTGTGTGTGTATCTGTGTGAGTCTGTATCTGTATGTGTGTATCTGAATGTGTGTCGGTGTGTCTCTATGTGTGTATCTTTATCTATGTGAGTGTCTGTCTGCTAAGTGTTTATTTGTGTGTGTCTGTGTGTATATCTGTGTGTCAGTGTGTGTCTACGTGTGTCAGTGTCTCTATATGTGTATCTGTATGCGAGTGTCTGTCTGCTCTGTGTGTCCATCTGTGTGTGTCGGTGTGTCTCTGTGTGTGTCTGTATCTATGCAGGTGTGTATCTGTGTGTGTATGTGTGTGCCTCTGTGTGTCTCTGTGCAGTGGCTGTCCCTGGGAGGAGGCGCCCATGGGCCCAGGGGTGGAGATGTGAGCCAGGCAGGGGCCAGGCTGGAGTCCAGGGCTCAGCCCGGGTGGGCGATGAATCAGGTGCCTGGAGCTTCCTGGGTGGGGAGACTCCGAATTGTGTTTCGGAGACTGCAGCTCCTGCCTCTGACCCCCGCCGAGGGGCCAGCCAGCCAGGGACTCCAGTTCACGGGCAGGGCGGTCCGCTCTGTGTCTATCCCAATATGGGCATCCCTATAGATAGGTCATCCTTGAGGGCGAGGGCAGTGACCCTGCTTGAAGCATTTTTATTGAGGGCCTCCTCCTGGACCTTATTTATTTTTGGTTCGGGGGCCTTACCCGGTGATGCTTAACTGCTGACTCTGCTCAGGAATCACTCCTGGTGGTGCTCAGGGGACCAAGTGGGACTCTGGGGATTGAACCTGGGTCCGCTGCGTGCAAGAGAACCCCCCCTCCCTGCTGTCCAATCTCCCCGCCTGACAGTTCTTGGCTTGGTGCTCGGGACTTGCTCCCGGCACTGTTGGGGCTCAAACCTGGGACTTCCACATGCAAAGCGTGTGCTGAGCTCACAGATGAATCTTCCTGATCCTCACCCCAACTTTCCCAAGAGGGAAACGGAGGCTCACAGAGGGGAAGTGGCCTTCCCCAGCCGCCCCCTGCCCCAGTCCCCCACCACACCCTAGTGGGAATGTTGAGGTCACCAGATTATCCGCCGGGCCAGCTCCAGAACCAGGATGGGGACCGGCTGCGTTTCTCTGGACACTCCCGACCCCCAAATCCCTGAGTGGACGAGAGAAGGGATAAGGCGGGAATGGCTCCCCCGACACCTGGGTGTCTACGATGGTTCAGGGCGGGGCCCCCCAGCCCAGTTAGTCACCGCCTGGCTGTGCTGCTGGCCCTTTCCCTGGGAGGGTTTTCTCTGCAGGCTGGGGCTCGGCTCTGCCGGGAGGCACCCCCTTAATCCAGACAGCGGGATGGGCGGCTGCCTCCTGCCTGGCCCGGGGCCCGGGCCCGTGGGCCGCCCAGCATGCTGAGGAGGGCGGGCCGGTCATGGAGTTCAGTATCTGGGTGTGCTTCCTTGGCCACGGGGCCCCCTCCTCCTGCTTCTGTTGAGTCAGAGTCCCCGTCAGCCTGGCCACGAACCCTGCGTTTCTGCTCCCTGGCGGAGGGGACTGGGGCAGGTGGTTTCAAACCAGGAAACCACGTCGGAAGCGTGCGGATGCTGTCTCAGCACAGACAGAGCCCTGGGTCACGTGGCAACTTGGACGTGGTCTCAAGGGGCAGCTCCTTGTCCTCTGTCCTGGGTCCTCCTGGGTCCCGTCCTGCGTCCTGCCTGGCCTCCAGACCTCCGTTCTAGCTTCCAGGCTAAGTCTTGGAACATATGAATGATAATCAAATCAAATCAAATTCGGGGGATTGAACCTGGGCCGGCCGCATGCAAGCCCAGCCTCCCGCCTGCTGTACTATCTCTCTGGCCTCAACGCTCCTGCCTCTGTGCACGAGGGTTGCTCCTGGCACGCTTGGGGCTCGAACCTGGGACTTCCACATACTTGGGGCTTGAACTTGGGACTTCCACATCCAAAGCGAGTGCTTAGCCCACAGATGAGTCGGCCTGCCCCTCCCCCTTCGGAGTCTCTGCTTGTGTTTCTTTGGGGGCCACACCTGGCGATGCTCCGGGGTTACTCCTGGCTCTGCACTCAGGGACCATTCCTGGCGGGGCTCAGGGGACCCTGTGGAGGGCGGGGGATCAAGCCTGGGTCAGCCGTGTGCAAGGCACGTGCCCTCCCTGCTGCACGATTGCTCTGGCCCTGTTCTGTGTCTCAAACCCAAGATGGTTTTCAGACAGGGTTGGAGACTCATTTAGACTCCCCATGCCCACCTCCCCCGCCAAAGTGTTTCTTCATTATTGGGGATAGACACGGCTACTGATCTGGTTGGAAATTCCATCCTCAGAGGGCTTGAGCAGTTTGGAACTTAGAACAAAGTTCCCAACCCCAAATGGACCCTGCACACACGTCCCTTCTTGGGTTTGACAAGAGGATGGACTTGCGCTGACATGGCAAACTCCTACACATCCGTCAATACCCAGCTGAAATGGCCCCTCCTCCCGGAAGCCTTTCCTACTTTAGGTCCGGTCCATCGGAGATGGGCAAGCCCAGAGTTCAATCTTGTTCCCCACTCTCCTATTTTTCCATCCGGGTCTTTGCCCCGGTTGAAGTCCCACTACAGCAGGGGTGTGGGAAGTGCTTGTCTTGGTCTCCCAGCGGGTCCTGCGGAGGAGGAGGAGGGCTGGACGCGACCCCTCTTCTCCTGCCCCCTCCTGGCAGCCACCTCCCCCAACCCCGCCCCCCGGGCCTGGCTCGCCGCTAACCTCCTCTCCTCTTCTCTCTGCAGCCCACGACGTCCCGGCCAGCAAGGCCCCCTCAGCACAGCCCGGCAGCCACCTGCAGTGCTTGTCCGTCCACTGCACGGACGACGTGGGCGACGCCAAGGCCCGAGCGTCCGTGCCCACCTGGCGCTCCCTGCACTCGGACATCTCCAACCGATTCGGCACCTTCGTGGCCGCCCTGACTTGAATTGACAAGACCCGCCCTCTGTCCTGACCCCTGACCTGTCCCTCCCGCCTCTCTCCCCTCTCCCCTACCTCTCCTGGACCCTTGTCCTCCACCCCCTGCTCATTTGAAAGGGCCACTATTGCTGAGAGAATGATTCCCCCCAGCCCCCTAGATTGGTACCTGCTTAGTGGCATATGGACCGAAAAGGGTTAATTTAAAGGGATGGGGGAAAAAAAAACCTTAATTTTTTTTTTTTTAAAGAAGAAACTCGTCCGCCACACTATGTTAGCAGTGTTTACCCTTCTGCAGTTAGCAAACCTTTGCTTAAGTCTTTTTCCTGCTAGAGAATTCCCCATTTTTCTGTAATCTTGGCATACTTTTTTTTAGATGACCTCTTTCCTTGTTTTATTTTTATGCTGCTGTATGTCCAAGTATCGTTATTCCATAATGAGACAAGAGTTGCTTTCCTTTTTTTTTTTGAAATTCTCTTTTATTCTTGTTGCTTTTTCCCTCTTCCACTGTCCTCCTGACCGCTCCCCTTCCTCCTTCTTTTCTTCCTCCTCCTCCTCCTTCTCGTCTTCCTCCTCCCTCTCACCCTCCTCCTTCTCTTCCTCCACCCCCTTCTCCTCCTCCTCCTCCTCCTTCTTTTGCTTTGTTCACTGCTTATTAAAAATGGAAATCCTGAAGAACAGTCGTTCTGGAATATTGCCGGGTGAAAGTCGAATTGTCATCACCGCATTCTAGATTGGCACCCAACTGTCCTTGGGTCCCCAACAGCCCTACAGTGAAGGTCCACCCAACTCCCCCGACTTAGCTCTTCAGCCTGGGACTCTGTTTTGTCTGCGCCCTGAGAAAATAGATATCTTTTCATTCCTGCAAACACATATGCTCAGCCCGTGATCTCTGCATGGACGGACGCTGTGTCCAGCCGTTGGGTGGGAAAGAGCAGAAACGGCCACACCGGAGTTTTTGCTCCCTTCTCTGCATCTCTGTCTGTGCTGGTCAGCGGCCCTGACTGCGTCTGCGTGGGGGGCACTGTGCCCTGCCAGCTGTTGGGGTCTCGGGGCTCTGGGCTCTGCTGCAGCCGGGCCCGGGGCGGTCTCCGCAGGGAGGTTTGGAGGCTGTCTTCTCAGCCTCCCCCTTTGCTAACAGCTACCTTTAGCAGGGGTGGGAAAAAGAGACACGCCCCCCCACTTCTTCCTTGGGGTCCCCAGTTCTCACCTGTTGACGGGACCTCGAACTCAAGCCGCTTCCTTCTCTTTCCCCTACCCAGCAGTCCGGGGATGGGGAAGGCCCCCAGGAGCACTTTTAGAGGAGCTTTCCCTGACTCTTGAGGGGGGGTGCCTCTTTGCAGGAGTCCCCCGGGGAGCTTGTGGAGGGAGAAAGGGAACCTGAGACTCGCATGGAGTGATCGAGCTTTAACCAAGCAGCCCTGGGCTTGGCCCCTTTTGTTTACTGGAACCCGTGGCCGGCCTCCAGCGGTGGCCCTGCACACTGCCCGGGCCGGCTACTTCTCCTTTGAAGGGAGATGCGGGGTGACAGGGCCCACAGCGCAGGTGGAGGAGGGTGTGGGCATCCAGACATCCCTGTTGGCTGGACCTTCCAGACGGAGACCCCTGGGGATCTGGCAGAGACAGGAACCAAAACCTTAGGGTGCTGTGGGTGCCGGCAGAAGGCTCGGATGCCTCCTGGGGCCAGGGGCAGTGGGGACAGGCTCCAGTAGGCTCAAAGACGTGGCCACAGACGCTGCCCGGGGCCTTGTATTACCCCTTCCTGGGAGTTACAACCCCGAATTATTATTATTATTTTATTTTATTTTATTTTTTTTAGCAAGTGACCTGAAAGCCTTGGGCTCACCCTGCAACACCCACACGGTTCATTTCAGAGAACTTGGCCGCCAAGCCAGAAGCGCCTCGCCTAAGGTCTTCTCCCCACCGGCAGACGCCTCCTCCCTCCAGCTTGCCCCCGGGGGCTCAGATCAGGGCTCAGAGAGTCTGATCCTGGGGGCCCACACAGCCTTTCTAGGGGCTCAGCGGAAGCTGGTAGGGAGAAGAGCTCTGTCCTGGCTCACCCCTTCCCCTCACCTCCACCTCCAGAGAAAGGAACGGGGAGCGAATTCCCACTTCCCACTGGGTGCCGGGAGCTGGAGCTGCCCTAGTCTGAGCAAACAGCTGTTGGGAAACATCCTTTGATTTCTGAAACGGGAATGGTTTCTCCTTCATTGCTTCAGGGCAGGGAGCAAGGGAGCCTGACCTCTGCTTGGCTCGTCCTGCGCAGGGGGGTGTCCGGGTGAGTGGGGGTGGGGCAGGGGCTCATCAGCACTTGGCTCTAGGGGGTCCCAGCCACCCCGGAAAGCCCTGAAGGGTTCCACGCATTGGCTCCCCACGACCCCAGGATGGAACAACTCTGACAACGGCCCTAAGCGTAAAGGGGTGTGATTTCACTGGGTTCGGTTGGAGAGGGTGGAGGTGGACTGAGCACGCCCGGCCCCGAGGCCCTCCTCCCCCGGCCCGGCACCGCAGAGCAAACGCTTCGGGAAAGGAAACGAAAACGTTCTTGCACATGTAAAATATGGAAACTTAAACTCTGCTGTGTGTTACGCAATCCTGTCCTCTTTTTTGACTCTTTAAAGAAAATTCATTTCCGAGATGCTTGGTTGGAAGACTGTGTCGACAGCTCAGGAAACTGAGTGTTATTTTTTTCTTTCTTTTTTTAAAAAAAAATATGTAAAGTGCAGTCTTCTGTATTCCTGCATATTGTATATACCTGTATATGTTTTCCTGAGCAGCTAAATAACAATAAATATGACGTTAATGGTGAGTGTGGCACGTTTGTGGGGGGGGTGGCTCCATATCTCCCCCACCTCGCTGCCCCCAGGCAGTCCTGCCCTTTCCTCCATGGGGGCTTTACCGGCCATGGGGGCGCAGGCATTGGTCTGGATGCTGTGTGTGTGTGCGCGCGCGCACATGTGTGCACGTATGTATGCGTGTGTGTGGGCCTATGTGTGCGCATGTGTCTGTGTGCGCATCTGCGTGTGTTCATGTGTGTATGCATGTGTGTACCTGTGTGTGCTTATGTGTCAGTGTGCACATGTGTGTGCTTGTGTGTCTGTGTGCGCACACACATGTGTGTCTGTGTGTGCTTGTGTGTCAGTGCACCTGTGTGTGCATGTGAGTCTGCATCTGCATGTGTGTGCTTGTGTCTGTGTGTGCGCACATGTGTCTGTGTGTGCATCTGTGTGTGCATCTGCGTGTGTTCATGCATGTATGTGTGTGTGTACCTGTGTGTGCTTCTGTGTCTGTGTGCGCACACACGTGTGTCTGTGTGCTTGTGTGTCAAGTGCACATGTCTATGCCTGTGCGTCTGCGTCTGCATGTGTGAGCTTGCGCTGTGTGTGTGCATGTGTGCATGTGCGTGTGTGCGCTTGTTGGGTGTTGCCCGTTGGGATTCTCTGCAGCAGTGTTAACATTTGAAGCTGGCTCATGCTTCGTGGCCGTGTGGAAGGGGTGGGGAGTTGTGCATTGTGTGATCTTTACCATCATTCATTTTTTAAAAATTTGGGCAGTGCGGGGGGTCGAACCCTGGGCCTCACCCTACAAAACCAGGTTTCTACCTCCCAGGCTCAGCCGGACCCCTGTGCTGTGCCTTCTGCAGAAGCAGGCTGGGACCCCCTCTCCTCCCCGTGAGTCTGCGTGGGCCCAGCACCCTCTGCCCGTAGCCCTCTCCCAGGCCACCTCCCAGACCCCCACTGGGCGCGGGCTGACCTTGAGCGGCTGTCTGAACGGTGCCCTTCCCTGCCACCTGCCTTGGGTCCTCGCTGTCTTGGGGTCTGACCATCTAGACTCTTAAGGACGCTGTGAACACCAGTTTCTGGCCCTGGGTTCGATGGCTGGGTCAGCACCATTCCCCTCGTACCTGACCCTGACTGCAAACCATCAGTCACCGCTACCCCCTGGCCCACCACAGGTCAGAGGGTGTAAGCGGGCCAGCGAGCAGAAGGGAAGTGCGGCCATGCGGTGTGGACACTGACAGATGTCCCGCATGCGTGAGTCAGCCGCTCTAGGAAGTACCCCAGGTGCCCCCCGCTTCAACCCCCCCCCCCCAGACACATGGAGAGATCTGACAGCTTGAGGCTTTCACACGAGCTCGGGACCTGGGACGGGAAGACCCTCCCCCACCACCCAGCCTCAGTTTCCCTGGGTAGGTGTGGGTGCTTGAGGGTTGCTGGGTATTGTGTGAGTCCCAGAGAGGGGAGTGGGTGGTGCCCGGTCCTCTGACCAGACACTACTGTCCCACTGGCGTCTGCTGGGACGTCGCCCTCCCCGGCTGCCCCAGGTCAACCACAGCGCCCCCCAGCTGCAGCAAGAGTGACACAGCCGAGAGGGGACTCGCCTTCCACGCAGTCAACCTGGGTTCGATCCCCGGCACCCCATAGGGTCCCCCAAGCATACCAGAAGTGATTCCTGAGCATTGCCGGGTGTGGCCCCAAACCCCCGCCCCCCCAAATAAAGAGTGACACAGCCAAGATCTGTCCCTCTGGAAGGACACAGTGCCCGTTCCTGCGTCTCACCTCCGAAGGACCCAGTGGGAGATTTGGGTCCATATCATTCCCGTGCTCTGGATGACCCAACACACTCGCTGCTGCGTGCTTGGCTGGTCCCAAGGGCCAGTTCCGGAACTGCCAGGGCAGAGGAGTGGGCATAGGGGGGCACTTTATAGGAGACTCTTGTCTCCCTGAATTCTGTGGGGACCCCATGCTGGGGCAGAAGCGTCACATTTGCAGGCTCAGAGACATACATTGCCAAAAGAGAGAGAGAGAGAGAGAGAGAGAGAGAGAGAGAGAGAGAGAGAGAGAGATTTTTTTTTCTTTTTGGGTCACGTGGCTATGATCAGGGGTTACTCCTGGCTCTGCAATCAGGAATTACTCCTGGCGGTGCTCAGGGAACCCTATGGGATGTCGGGGATGGAACCTGGGTCAGCCGCGTGCAAGGCAAATGCCCTACCTGCTGTATTATTGCTCCCACCCAAGGAGAGAGATTTGATATCACCCCCGCCCCAAGTCCTCTGACTACAAAGTAGGGCAACGAGAGGAAGGAAATAACTAGATCGACAAAATAGTCAAAAGTGAAGGGAGGGGCCGGAGCAATAGTACAGTGAGTAAGGTGTCTGCTTTGCATGTGACCTTCCCGGGTTTGATTCCCAGCATCCCATATGGTCCCCTGAGCACCCCTATGCATCGCTGGGTGTGACCCAAAAAGCAAAAAAAATATTGAGTCAAATAAGATACACAGTTATAAAGTTGTTCATGATTGAGTTTCAGTCATACAATGTTTCAATACCTAATTGAAATACAATGTTTCAATACAATGTTTCTTCCCAATTTCAATACAATGTTTCTTCACCAGTGCACATTTCCCACCACCAATGTCCCCTGCATCCCTCCTGTTTCCTCACCCCCACCCATGGCAGGCACTTCTCTCTCTCTCTCTCTCTCTCTCTCTCTCTCACTCTCGCTCTCTCTCTCTGCCCCTTGATCATGATTTTAGGTCTTTGTCCTCTGGCTTCCTGTTGAAAAGTCACGAGAGAGGCCATGGACAGACAGTCCCGTCTGCCTTACGCATGGACGGGACTGGTGGCTCGTTTCAGACCACTGGGCATGGCCGAAGCAGGGGATCATCACCCTGAGCTCAGGTCACTCTGGGCAGAATAAGACGGGCGGGGAAGGGGCTCAGAGCAATTATACAGCCAATGAGGTGTTTGCCTTGCCTGTGACAGACACAGGTTCAATCCCTGGCACCCCGTATGGTCCCCCAAGCACCAAGGAGTGATCCCTGACCAAAGATCTAGTGGTCAGCCCTGAGAATT